GGATGTACAGAGAAATGATAACAACTGTTGCACTCTATAACAACGATTCTGCGGTCACTGAAGTGAGACTTTTATTCAATCAATTATTTATTTTCTAAACTATTAATAACTTATCAAAACTGCTTTACTTTAATTTCTACATAATTTACATACTTTTACTTTTAATAGGCGTGGGATTCCGTACAAAAGAATGTAAGCCTTAAATTGTGTTATTTTTTAATTTTATTAATAATAATAATATTTTGCCCGAAAAATAGTTCAAATGTTGCGGAATGTCAGTAAACGGCGCCAAACCGTATGAAATATATCAGAGACAGAATAGAGGAAGTTTTGGTGGCGGCGCCGGAAGACCTAAAGTGCCCATCAGTTGTTGCATAAGAGTTAGTGACGGCCAGTCCACTAATCTCTGTACTCACGGACCCAGTGATCCCAATATAGTCTACCACAATGTATGTTATTTCATATACAAAATTATAATATGCAATTTTTGGTTACTTTATCTAATAGTAAAAGTTAAATTCATATTTTTCTAAATAATAGGATTGTTACATGGAAATGAAAGAATTTGTAAAGGTAAGTCGTGTAAACATATGGTAAAAATAATATATTAATAAGTAAGTGTTACATTTTCAGAGACACGCTTTATTAGTCGGTGGTATTGGTATAGGAATTGCCTGTATATTACTTATTGGTGAGAATAATTTAAAATTTTGTAATCAATTACTAATTATAGTTTTAATTAAATCAGTAAATTAAAATAAGTAAATCAGTATTTATAGAATTCTGATGTAAACATTAATATTTTATGCATTTAATGTTTATTTAGAAAATATTAGTTAGATTTTAATAAGTTATGCAATTACTAAAGCAATCTTAAATACATTTTGCAATAAATTAGAAAAAAATAAAATATTAATTAAAATTTATAAATTATAATATATATTAAATACAATTATTGTGTTTATTACAAAGGAATGGTTCTATCGATGGCTTTGTTTCTGATGATTGATTAGGAGTACAACGATGTAAATCGCCTTCAATTTATGCCTAATCAACAATTTAGTCATTCATTCGTTTATCAATAGATTTTAATTATAATTTAAAGAAAACATTTATTTTCTACTC